AATAGCTACAGGAAGTGAGTCAGTTGCAGTCTGTTGGATAAAGAGCAAAGGTGAAGACACAGAGAGGCCTTGTGAGACGTGGGATGGAGGACGCACACATTGATCTATCCATTGAGTCGATTTGCTTCTCCTAAATACAGATCTGGAAACTCACAGGGAGCAAAGCAAGCTGATAGGGACAGTTTGGAAGGGAGAAGCAGAGGTAGGGAGAAGCAGAGGTATGGAAAGAGATTGTGGCTCAGGGGCAGAACACATGCCTTGCAGACAGGAGGGTCACTCTAGGTCCACTAGGCAAGACTGCAACATTTCCAGGGAGGGACCAATGCCCCTCAACCAATGGGTAGGAGGGGAAATGGTGACATCATGACTGAGTTAAGTCCTTGAACCTCATGGGTAGACAGGATTCAGTTCACATAGCCAGGAAATGCTATCTCCTTCCTTGTTCCACCCCCTGGCTGGCAACCCTACTGTACCCCCTTTAGAAGCAAACGCTTCCCTGGCATTACCTCAGATCAGAGGTCATTTCGGGGGGATTGCAGGGGATCACAGTTCCCCCGGGTGAGGGGCGGGGGGCAGGACACACGACGAAGCCACACCCCCTGCTTCTGGCCGCCCCGCTTCCGGCCCTCATTCAGCCAGGAGGAGGCAGGAGAAGAGGGAGGGGTAAGTTGCTTCCTCCCCACCTCTCCCCACCCCTGCCTGCCTGGGGCCAGGGAGGGCCTTGGCGGGGCTTCCTCGCACTCCCGCCGGCCTTGCAGGTCCACCGCTGGGCCCCTGATGTCAGGGGGTGTGGCATATGCTAATGAGCTCCCCTAGCTCTTTTTCTACGAAACTACCCCTGCCTCAGATTGGAAAGGCAAACCCACCTCTTCAAATGTCGGCTCCGTTCGCAGGGCAATGTTGACCGCATTGGTGATGATGAAACCCGCCAAGAGCAGCTTATAGGCCGGGTGATGGAGGAATATCCCCATGCATGTGTGTGAGACAAACTCTTCCACATCCCAGTTATCCTATGGGAAGAAAACAAAATTGTGGAGCTATTGAAGGGGTGGGGAGTGAACCGTGGAAAAACTTAACCCTATGTCTGTCTCCTTTTCACCATCTAGCCGGCTTTGAGATTGGTTGCGCTTGGGTGCTCTGCTGTGGATTCAGTGAATTGACTGGGCAAGCCCTCCCTCAGACTTAGTATCCTTTCATCTGTAAAATGGGTACATGTGTTCAGAAGTTTAATTTCTGCACCATATCGAGCTAGCCCATTTTTTACTTCAGCTTTACTCTGAGGAGGTCAGGGCAGCATGGATGTTTCTCCTGTTTAGAGATGTTAAGGCCCAGAAAAAACCCGGAAAAATTCGGAAAAAACACCCAGTTTTTTTCCGTTTTTTTTTCCTGAAGCCTTTTTTGTTTTTTCCGAAAAATTGGAAACATTGAAAAAAGAAAAGAAATTGGAAAAATTGACTATGGAACATTTTATTTTAACATGATGAATAAAATATTTTAAGACAAAACTGAACTCTCCAATGCAAGAACAAGATGCATTTCTTCCTTTAGGAGGTGCTATTGTCAGAAGAAAATAAAAGGTTTCAGTTTTGTCTTTGCATGTGGGTGGGTATTCTGTTTGTAATAATTGTTTGGATACACTATATTTTTAATATGCTAGTTGTGATAATTTCATGCCAAATAAAAATGTCCATAGTCATATTTTATGTTCCTAAAGTAACAGAATCTTTCAATCTAGAAAAAACAAAAGAAATGCTAATGTAGCATTTTTTTCGATTTTTCTGAAAATTTCCGTTTCCCCCCGAAAAAAACTGGAAAAAAAACGGGTTTTTTCCCGAGCTTCAAAATTTCCGGAAATTTTACATCTCTACTCCTGTTCCCATTTTCTTTGTGCAACAATCCTGTTCAGTCAAATAGGGTTATAGAGGGTGACTGGCTGAGGGTCACGTGGTGAGTAGAGTGGGAGTTCAAACCCAGTGCTCCCAGATTTCAGTCCAGCACGCTAACCATGACGCCACATTGCATCTCATTTGATGCATTATTCAGTTTGTGGCTTTACCCACTTCTCTGAGTAAGCTGCTCTGCATTTGGCTGTTGGTTTAGCTAGTACATTTATGTCACATCCCTTCGGATATCAGCTCACTGTTGCTCAAAGGGGAAAAGTATTTATTTATATTTGAATTTATATCCCGCCCTACCCCGTAGGCTCAGGGCGGCTAACAAGGGCACCATGTGCCGAGGTTAAAACAGTAAGCACATAATTTAAAAACAATAAATTACAGTAAAATACAATAACAAATTTACAAACAGATTTAGACAAGATGGGGAGATCTTAACTTCCATAACTACTTCCTAAGATCTTATCATCTAAGCCGTGCCCAGGCGCCTCGCTCCCCCCTTAGGGGCCAGGCAATCATGATGTTAATACGCCAGAGCATAGGGGGCAAAGGTGGAATAGTATCAAAAAGACCCGGACCAAGTTGTGCCGGGGATTCCCGGTCGCACTGCACCTACTGATGCGGGAGCTTACTGGGGAGGAGGCACAAGGGAGCATTTGCACTGTTTGCCCGCCCCTGGTGGAGGTGCGGCTGTAAGCGGCTTTTTTTCAGTCCGGCGACATGCGCATAGGCGCAACACCGCAGCAATGCGGCTTGTTTGTGGCTTTTAGCATGCACACTTCCGGGAAGTGGGATCAACGCACTCTCCAGGGTTTGCTACAGCTTTCACCTGGTACTTTTTTAAACTCGGTAGGGAATCGTCATAGGACAGGTTGAGTACGGCTGGGGAACCCCTGACAGCTGTGGCTGTGTGAACCGGCCCCTTTAATCCATTTGTGAAACGTGCCTATATCGGGCCAAACTGCCAGTCTGAACTCAGCCTGTGTGTATCATAGCCAAGTCTAGGATGTCCCCGCAGACAGCACATTGGTGAAAGTCCCCCAAACCTCGCACCAGCCCTGCTTCTCTCGTGGTCTCTCATGCCAGAAGCCCTGGGTGGTGGATCAAGTCACAGGAAAACAGGCATCAGAAGAACATACCTGGATCCGAGTGATGTCTTTGCAGTTGACCTCGACTGGTTCCGCATCAGGATTTGGCCGTCCTCCAGTTGGAGGCAGGTCAGGCGTCTGGGAATGTGAGAAAGACACATGTATGTTTTAGGTATCTGGGGAGATATCCTAGCACCCACAACTGCTTTTTCTGCTTGCTGTAGGTCCCAATTCCCACAATCTGGACCATTGTGTTTAGGCTACCCAGCTCCCAAAACACACAGTGAGAGGCTTTGCACAAGGGTCCCCCCCCACTCAGGATCAATGCTGCTGAGAAGTGGGTTCCCCCCCCCAAACCACCTGCTTTTCTCTTCTGTGAATTAATGGTTATGTGAATTAAGGTAAAAAGGTAAAGGTTTCCCTTGCTCGAAAGCCAGTCGAATCCGACTCTAGGGTTGCGGTGCTCATCTCCGTTTCCAAGCCGAAGAGCCAGCGCTGTCCGAAGATGTTTCCGTGGTCATGTGGCCGGCATGACTAAACACCAAGGCACACGGAACGCTGTTACCTTCCCACGGAAGTGGTACCTATTTATCTACTTGCAATTTCTTGCTTTCGAACTGCTAGGTTGGCAGGAGCTGGAACTAGAGACGGGAGCTCACTCCATCATGCGGCACACTTGGGTCTCGAACTGCTGAACTACTGACCTTCCACAGCCTGCAGTTCAGCGTCTTAACCACTTGAGCCACCGGGGGTGGGTGGGAAATCCTTGAAAAAGACCCCTGGGGCACCGGAGGGGGAATGGCCACTTCATGGGCTGCACAGCAGCTGTAGCCACAATATGGCTTGCACAGTGAAGTGTTGCCATGTGGAAAAGCCCTGAGATATCAGTATGGGTGGGGAAGTAAGTAATACGCAATGCATGATTCTTATGTTAAAAAGTAACAAAGGATAGCCTCAAGGCTCAAAATATGATTCTGTTCCTGAAACTATCAAAGTTTATAATTAATATGTATTGAAATGAAATGTCATATTTAAAATGACGTATCCCCATGTATCTTTTCCCTGACATGCTATGTATCTATGCATCTTTTTCTTGACATGCTAGCTTTCTATATGCAAGGGACATTTAAAAAAAACCCCTTTGGCAGAACATTTCTTTAATTTGTTATATGACACTCCGATCTCTAAGCTGCCTGCTAGAAGGTTCTCCCATAGTAGATGTCCAACATATATTGCTGCCTGAAGTGGCAGTGGCTTATAACTGTTGCTTCTCTTCATTCCTGCCGTTGCTGCACCCACCCAGGAGCCAGAGGTGATAAACTTCCTTTCCTCTTGGCTGTGCCAGCTGCCTTTCACACTCATGCAGCAAGCACGCCCTATAAGGCTTCCTGAATGCCTGCAAGGTTACTTCCACTTAGATGAAGTTGGCTGCCATTTTGGTTGCCTTGCCGACAGGCACCAGAAATGGCAGCTGAACTCTTACAAAGTACACACAAGAACACCAAGTCTGACCTTTTTTCACTTTAGCAGAGATATATTTTGGAACTATTGATAACCTCTTTTGGGACAATCATCGGTCTTGATGATGCGTAACATCATCAACTGGCTAGGAGAAAAATGTCTTGTGTAGAAATGGGCAACTGAAGCTTGTCACGGCATGGAGGTAAACGTAACCTGGTACTTCCTGTTTTTTTTTGCTGATTAAATGGATATTCAAGAGACAGGTAGAAGGACCAGTTTCAAAGCTGGCAGCCCTAGTGATATACCAAAGGCCTTTCTACTATTTTATAACTAAAACAATAAGGCCTGTCATCCCACAGAAATTGATGCTGGTGCCCACACCTACTGGCCTGGCTACCACCAGGGGACCAATGCTCCCTCTAAGCTGTGGAGTCTTGGGGGCAAAAATTCTACTTTGTGAACTACTGGCATTAAAGTTGTGAGCAAGCAATTTGGCTACTGCGCAAATTAGTTTGCTCTGGAGCCATCCTTCCTGAGCTAAGACAAAATGTATGAGCTGGAGGCTAAAAAGAACTGTGAGCTAGCTCACACTAACTCAGCTTAGAGGGGACACTGGCCTGGACTTTGGGTGCAGAAGCATAAAGACAGAAATAATAAAGTAACAACCACCCTTGAGTTCTCAGTCAATCTGAGAAAGCTATCAATCTATATCTGACGATGTTGTTGTGTTCAAATGACTGAGACTTAAGCCTTGTTTGTGTGTTACAGTGAATAGATGTATACCCTCCATATACATGTGCATGTCTGTTTGTAAGAAAAAAATTCAATGCTCATTCTCTTTATTCATGAACCCAGGGACAAGTAACTGGATAAACATGCAGTTTCAGTCACAAATTCAGCTGTACATGCATTGCATTACTCAACACACATATATAAAGAAAAACCAAGTGTACACTGTACATGGATTGTACAAGCATTTAGTGTAACTTGTGAACAGGGCTCTAGAGGTGGGGTGCAGAAGGAAAGTTCCAGTAGTGACATATCTATCATTCTTGGAGAAAGATAGAGAAGGTGGCAGCCAAGGCCTGATATTCCCCAAGGAGAAGGGGAGCAATTTCCTCCCCAAACCTTCCCATAATCCTCCGCAACCAAGCCCTAGGTTCTCACCATAGAATTTGTATGCTGCACGGCCATTGCACTGATGTATGGAGTCCACCATCTACTAAACCATCACTCCTTCCTGCATTATGACATCACCATTCTAAATCTCATAGAATCCTGCAACCATGACATCACAGAAGCCACCCCCTTCTCCAGGTTGTTTCCATAACTGCTCAAGGGAAGTAAGCAAACAGCCTGTTGCTTGGATAGCTTGAGTTGCACATTGCTGCAGCACTGGCTACTACTTCAAGCTGGACGTCACAGATAGTCTGAAATTTTGGCAAGAGGAATCGATCCATCCATCCCACTTTTAGTACTTTCCTAACGACATGTCCTTGAGTATACGTGTACCAAATTCCAAATTTCTATCAGTTGTGGAAGTATCTCAGTTGCTTTGATAACCTTGTAAGCAAACAAGGCCCACAGATCTATAGATGGATATTACCAACAAATCCCAGATGTAACCTGCGGACATAGATACTTCCCTGGTTACCAGAGCCAAGCCTTCCTCCCCTTGTGCAAGAATGATTAAAAAGCATCAAAGGAGATTTTCAGTCTTATATTCCTTTGCCACTGCAATGCCACTCCCCCCTCCCCCCATTCAAGGCTGATTCGGAATTTTCACAGGCCCACGTTCCATTCCATAAATGACTTGGCTTGCTACTGCCCCAGCCTTTTGGACTTCTGAGGTGTGCGTATATAGCCACTAGATGCAAGAAATGCCCCAATTTTCAGACTCATCAGGGTGCTTCGCTCTCCCGTCCTCTACCTGATCCAGTGGGAGTAAAAGCACAGGGTTGCTGGTGGTCATCCAAGATCAGGTCAAGATAGATAGCCTTGCTGCAAGGAGCTGCCCAGGATTTACCATGACCTGGGTTAGAGAGCTGTTGAACCAGCAGCATGGGAAACTCAAACGAGGAGTTATAAAGGGAGCCACTGTTCCACCCCTTCATGTAGGAAGAGTTGAGACCCTGATCCAGCCAAGACTCAAAGACAGGCATCTTCCTCCTGTGCAGAGCTTAGAGGAGGGAAAGTCCGAGGCATGCACTCCCCCACCTGTTGAATTTTTCAGTCCTGCCTCTTCATCTTTTTCGCTCTTTGAGGAGACTGGGGTGGAACAGACCACTTGGGGGGGCTGCCAATCCATCAGAGACTCCAGTTCTTGGATGGGAGTTGGTTGCTGATCTGCCTGAGCCTCTGGCTCTTGTATGTGAATCAGTTGTGACAGAGATAGCAAGGGGTCTTTCTCCTGAAGGTCCAGGAGGGCATGGAGTCTAAGATGTATTGAGGACCACAGGGGAGTGGTCGCTTTCCCCTCATGGAGTCTCCCTCTAGGGCAGAACCTGACACTGGCAGAGGAAATCTTAATTTTAAGTCAAAGATGGTGCATTGGTTAGGGCAGAGGTATCAAACTCATTTGTTACAAGGGTGGATCTGACATAAATGTGTGCCATAAAACGTAATGCCAGGTACCGGAGATAGAAACTGTGTAAAGCACAGCAGATGGTAATCTCCAAGTTGGTGCATCCTCACTTGGCCCGGAAGGAGCCGGTAGGGTTGCCAACCCCCCTGGTTTGCCAGGGGTCCCCCGTTTTTTTTGGGGGGGGGGGTTTCTACCCGCCACCGGCCAGATGGCCAGCGGGGGAAGCCCCACCCCCAACACCCACAGCCACCCCTCTCTCTCCCTTTAAGTGTGTGGAACCTGTGTTTCCTCCCAAGCCTGTGTTTCCTCCCAAGCCCGATCTCCGCTTGAGATCAGGCTCGCAGGGAAATGCCAGCTTCATGCATTTCAAAGGGAAATGCAGCTGCTCTTAAAGGGGAAACGCGGCGCCTTTAAGTGCAGGGAACTGCCGTTTCTGGAGATCCGGAGCGCGGGTGGGGGGGGGGCGCGGCGGACGTCACCAACGTGATGTCATCACGTCAAGGATGCCCCGCCCCCTCCAGGAACGCCCCCAAAGTCCCCCGCTGGGGGTGGAGGATGGACTTGGCAACCCTAGCTGGGAGGGGGCTGCAGAGGAAAACGCACATAGGCAGACTGGAGAGGCAGCAGTGCAGCACTGGGCAGATGCTCCCACAATGCTTGACTGCTGCAGACGAGGTTGTTCTGCCACGCTGAAGCCACAATGGAGTGGCTCTGCCCACTCCCCTCCAGCACTCCCTCTCTTGCATAAGGGCCCTGGACGGGCCGGTTCCAGCCCCCAGGCCTTATGTTTGACACCCCTGGGTTAGGGTGTATCTCCACTCAACGATGAAACTCATTGGGTGATTTTGGGCCAGTTACTCTCCTGCGCAGCCAAACCTACCTCACTGGTAGTTGTGTAGATAAAATGGAGAAGAGGGGAACCATGTGAGTCTTCCTGAGCTCTTTGGAGGAAGGGCAGTATTAAAAATGGGGCAGAACTTTCTGATTGGTATTGAAATACCATCAATACCATTCAATACCATGACTGGAGGGGTGGTGGTGAAGTTCTGCATTTTGATCCCAAGACTTCCCTGTCCTTTTTTCAGGTTGTTGG